AGGGAGGGAACTAGGGAGCATGTTTTTTACCGTACCACTAATTAATGCGTAAAATCGATACACCCATAGCGGGTATTTTGGCGTTCTTGTATATTATAAGAATTTGCCGAGTCAGGTGTACAGCAAAGATCGTATAAACAAAGATAAACACGCTGCCATCATGAGGCGTAGTAGGTCATGGTCGCCACAAGCTGCCATTTTAGGAAGCAAGTTACACGAAGTTCCGGATGTTTGCCTGTAATCTGCTAGCTGTGCAAACTGTCCTGCTGTGTGCTGTCAGCTCAGCTTACTGTTCTGCTGTAAATTGGCTCGAATCGTTCAGTGTAAGCCCGACCCTGTCTTCTTCAGGTTCCACAAGATAGCGGAAAAGGTGAGAAAACATTCTTTTTTTTGTCGAAATCCATCGTGGAACAGAGTTGCGCAATCTTGTTGATTACATGTAGTAACAGTGGCAGTGCAGTGCTCGCTAATCTTGTGTTAGCTCATCTTGACCATAGTCAGATGCAGCTTGTAGAATCGCTTGATCGTCCGTCGTCGTCCCGTTCCGTCAACAGTTTTGGGCACAAAATCTAACGCGCTCCCCGCGAGCGTACGGTACGACATTTGGCAGCATCGGGGGGATCGTCAAAACGAGTTGGATGTCGAAGCTGGGGGTCAAAGGTCAAGAGGTCAAAGTCAAGAGGTGTAAAGAAGGGGGAACATTCACTCCTTAACTTAAGGTATACGGAGGAAATTGCAGAATTGCGGCACATAATCTAAACGGCTCGACCTAGGCCTCGTGAATAGTCGGTGTAAGCACCATGGTAGAAAGCCATCACTGGTGCGAAATTGAGGTCCACAGGTCAAAGGTAATGGCATAGGGCTAGGATTTTAGACATTTTCTGAAGGACAGTGGTCTGACGGGAGCGATTGAAAGAACTTTTTTTGTTTTGCAGCGTGACCTATCATTTTTATGGCTTTATTGAAGGACCATGAAATGTGCTTTCCACTGACGTGCGGAGAGTAAGTGTCTCTGATGAACCTTTTGACGCCTTCAAGAGGAGGGTTAACATGGATTTGTTGACTGTTAACAATGGATGAACTTGCTTTTTGCTATTAAACCTCCTCCCCTCCACCCTCCGCCCTTCCCCTCCCCCACCCCTCCCGTGCCCGCCCCCTTCCCCCACCCCTCCCGCCGCCCTTTCCCCCACACTCCATCTGCGAATACGTGGGCGATGTCTAACAATGAATGTGTAGCGAACTGCGCGCTCCGCCCTTCACCTCCCCCACCCCTTACCCCACGCCTCCCCCGCCCTTTCCCCACCCCCGTCCCCCCACCCTCCAATCTGCGATAGTGGGCGTGTCCTAACGATGATGTGTAACGCAACTGCGCCTCCCCCTTCACCCTCACGCCCACCCCTTGACCCCACCCTCCCCCACCCTTCCCCACCCCTCCCATCATTGCGATCGTGGGCGATGTCCCTAACAATGATGTTTGTACGCAACTGCGCCTCCCCTTCACCTCCCCCCCCACCCTTACCCAAACCCCTGCCCCCGCCCTTTTCCCCTACCCCCTCCCCCCACCCTCAGTCTGCGATAGTGGGCGTGTCCTACAATGATGGTGTAACGCCAAACTGCGTGTCTGCATATCTGCGCCTAACAAAGGGTGGTACTACGCACGACTGAAATTTTAGCGATTTATAGTCGTAGGCAAGCAGACTCAGATGAGCCCAGACGCTCTGCGGCTCTTGTTTGTGCACAGGGCGTACGTACGGTGTGCTTTAAACGGCATTTACAGCAAGTTATCGACAATAATAGGCGAAATGGAGTAGAGAAACATTACTACTTTGATAGTATATAGATACTTTTAGTGTTTACTTACCATTATTTGTTTGAGACGGTCCAATGATGTGCCTGTGTACTGTACCACTGTCTGACACTACACCACTGCACTGTGTACATACTAACATAGTAACATCCGATTATGAATTATTGTTAGATTTTTGTACACTTGAATGAGAGATTTGATACAGCTATTGGCATAAAAATATTATCTATTCCATTATATTATAATATATATATATATTATGGATAACCATGGTTAATGATACATAGAAATAAAAATAGACGCGGAGCGGGTTTTGCTTCCTAAAATGGCAGACGTGGCGCTCCATTGCGTACTACACGTCATTGCACGTGATTTCGCATGAGTGGTTTATCTTGTGCACTCTACGATCTTTGGTAGTGTCCTTGCGAGGGGACACGATATGTTTTCCACGATAGTACGCGGATACTATGTTATTAGTATTAATATAGTGATTACCAGTATTTTAGGATGGTGAGGTTGCACGCGAGTTTTTACGGAGACACTGATTTTGATGATGTGATATAATGTTACGGTTGCACGGTCGCGGGTTGACTATAGTTATGTTATTGTACGGTTGGGGTCATGTTATCAGTATAGTACGATTATATACTTAAGCGGTTACAGTTACAATCAGACATATCACGATGATAGTACAGTCCTTCACATTGTCCGTGGCTCACATAAGCCATCCGCTCAGAAAAAATCATCGAGGGTTTTCTTCCAGTCGGGAGACTGGGCTAAGCCGATTTAATCGACTTTTCTTAGGGCGGGGTGAAATGTAGTACGGCGTTTTAGCTTTGAGATGGAGACATGTGGAGTTTGGCACATTACTCATGCAAATGTTCAGGGACGGCCGGCGATGGACCCAGAAGACATTAGCTACATACTTAAGAGCACACATAATTCAGCGTGGGCAGAATGCATTTTAGAATAGCTACATAATTAGGAGCACACATAATTCAGCGTGGACAGAATGCATTTCAGAATGGTACGAACAGATTAACTTCAACAAGAATGCGACGCGGTTTATCAAACGGATATCATTAAGCAGGCAACGTCCACGGTGGTCGGCGCTCCTTCGGACATTAGTCGCGACCGGCGATTATATCCACTACCCGCGCCATAAATTAGTGGAAGTCTAAACAGGTCGCGACGACGAGGCGTACGGTTTAAAAAGGAGGGGTTTTGGTAGAAACGGTTGAGACGACGGCAACCTCTAACCGGTACGTGTACACTGTTTTTATCCGTGATTGTAATAAAACTGTAGTTGTCACCGTTTATACAACTGTTACGTCCTACTGTCTACGTACCATATATTGGACGCTACACCGTCGTTATATGTGTAGTCGGAAAATAATATAGAAACGACTATTCGTGTCAGGGATTCATCAATATTTTATTAAAATGTAAAACGAATATGTGGTAAGAATGCAATAACAGATTTCGATCAGCAAAATATGCTGCGATATGATTGTCGGTCAATTTTTCTTGATTATTCGTGTGCATTATCGTATATTTATTGTTCTAGAATGTGTAATTTCATTAAAAAAGCATGTGTAATGTCATTATTTTAGCGAATATATGATAATAAAATACCATTTTATCTCAAATTTTCTTTAATAACCTAACTCGCATTGGCGACACTAAAAAATTGGGCCCTCTCCTATTATTTATGGGAGACACCGAGGTTTAATTGTATACGAAAACAATCTTCAAATGTCCTCTCACTTTTAAACGTGTATTGATATCAAAATGCGAGTTCCTTTATCTGATAGTAGACAGACGCACATATGCAGATCTGACCCTATAATCTACCGCAAGTTTTAAAGAGGTCTCGTAGAATTGCCACACTATACTGTATAGAATGAGGCAGTTGGAGCGCCATGTTTTGCATGAAAGTACTCCTTAGGATGTGCTCTCTAATGGTCGTTAATTTTAATACATTTTCGCATGCATATATTTTGCACACTTTAGATGCTCGACACTAGCGCCGACCAACGGCAACGAAAGTTGCAAGTAATTGTGTTTGACATTGAGGGGAATCAGAATGTTGAGAGGATTAAGGGGTCCCTGTTCTGATCTAAGGAAGGTAATGAATCGAACATTTCTCATGAAATCTCTCTCTCTCTCTCTCTCTCTCTCTCTCTCTCTCTCTCTCTCTCTCTCTCTGTTTCTCTCTCCCTCTCTCTGTCTCTCTGGCCCCCCTCTCTCTCTCGCTCGCTCTCTCTCTCTTCCCCTCTCTTTTTTAATTTACATACTTTATGTATGTATATTTCCATATATTATTCACCTTCATCAGAATCAGTCTCTGCCTCGTCACTCTCACCACTTTCTTCATTTTCCTCTTCGTCTACATCTCCTTCACTTTCAAAACCTTCCTCGTCACTAGAATCAGCCTCTGAATCGCTCTCCAAACAATTCCTGGACCTCCTGCAGTGACATTCCCCCGCTAGCCGCCATATTTGTTGAAAGTCCAGACGCTTACAGTTGCTATGGAAACTTGGGCTCAGACTGGCTAAACCTTAGGCGTGTTCAGGAGAGCGAACGCTCGCGAGCGCTCGCCTTCTGAACGACACTGCGCGAGCGAGCGCGCGCGCGCAAGCTCCAGAGGCTGTTCGTGCAGCGCGCGAGTTGTTTTCAAGATGGCGACGGGCAATCTGGCGAATGCGAATCTAACATTTCTGACTTCAATTTGCAATCTATTTCAACTTCATTTCATTTTTCATTCATTCATTTACTTCTAAATTCAATTCGTATCAATTTCGTCGGCTAATTCGTTTAACAGTACTTGTTCTCTCGCGATTAAAATCTGCTGAGTAACCCTCCATGGGGGCCGCCATCTTGGATAAAGCGAACGGTCGTGTGTCGTTCAAGGGGCGCTGCGTTCGTGCATCGAGCGTTCGCATCGAGCGTTCGCTCTGTTGAATACGCCTCAGGGTAAATGAACATGTAGTGACATCTACATAGAAGAATAATGTTCAAAGTAGCTTGTGGTGAAGTTTGGGAGAAAATCATTCACTGGAAAGTGGTGCCATCCAATAGA